GTGTGTGTGTGTGTGTGTGTGTGTGTGTGTGTGTGAGTGTGTGTGTGTGTGTATTTCCAACACCTGTAAAATCCTCCAGCAGTGATTAGTCAGCACTGAACACCCAGAGAGCTGGCTCAGTGTGTGTGTGTGTGTGTGTGTGTGTGTGTGTGTGTCTGTGTGTGTCTGTGTGTGTGTATGTGTCTGTGTGTGTGCGTGTGCAGTGGTTGCCACAGTAAACACACATCACACAGTGGCAGACCTACAGGAGATGACTCAGCAGATATTCCTGTTTGAGGTGGGCTGCTTCACCACAACACACCAATGAACACATGAACACACACTGATTACTAATGGAGGAACATAGTCAAATAACCATCTCACACACACACACACACACACACAGCTGGCAGCAGCCCTCAGAGCAGCGGGTTGCCAGTTTGAAACCCTGTGCCTGCTGGTGTGACTGCTGTCTCTTTAAATCAATATGTTCCTTGTTGATAATTCGCTGTCAGCTCAACCAATGTCATCCCTTGATCCCTAACTAAGCCCCGCCTCCCGTTTCCACTCCGTCAAAGCTGTCAGAGCTACGTTTCCATGGAGACCACACCGTCACAAACTGACGTCTCTGAAGAAATATATAAATTGTGTAAAAATGAAGAAGTGATTTGAGAGAGCCATTTAAACTATTAACTAACTCTAGTATTAACTTCAGTAGCTGGCGCAGCATAGACGTGCTACCGCTAGTTAATGCTGAGCTGACGTACTCTGATAATGTTAGCTCCACTAACGTTTTAGAAACGTTTATCTTCTTCAACCTCCTCAATGACCATTAAAACCACCTAAAGGACTTTAAAATCTCCTTATCGACCAGCACATCCACCTAAATACAAATAGAACCCCCAATAAGCGCTAGAACCTCCTCGATTACCACTAGAACCACCTAAAGCAGTGATTCTCAACTCGTTTTCAGTGGGTCGCGGGCCCGTTTTCAGTGGGTCGCGGGCCCGTTTTCAGTGGGTTTTTTGAAGTGAAATCTTCCAACACTAATTTCTCTTTTTGGAAGATGAGAAAAATATAATATCGTGGCTTTTTCACTTCACCCTGAATGAACTGAATTTAAAGCTGCAGCACAATTCAGTGAAAATAATTTTTCTAAAATTTATTTTGTTACGTAATTTATTCTTTAATCCAGCTGTTATTTTACTTGAAATGAGAAGAACATTTATTCATGTATTTCTATGTATTATTTATAATCCAGCCAGTTAAATTTGAAAAATGAGAATAATATTAGTTAAAATATAATTGATGTGTACTTTCTTTATTTGATTTGACAGCTGTTTACTACACAGAGACGTTACTACTACTAGACTTCTTGAATATAGATATACCGAAATTATTTATATATATATATAATTTGGGACGTGGGTCGCGGCTTGTCATTAAGGGGTGATGGTGGGTCCCGCAGCCAGACCAGTTGAGAACCACTGACCTAAAGGACTTCTTGAATCTCCTTTATGACCAATGCAACCACTTAAGAAGTAGAACCACCTAAAAGACCACTAGAACCTCCTTAATGACCATTAGAACCACCTAAAGGACTTCTAGAACTCCTTAATGACCAATTCAACGAGCTAAACTATAGGTAGAACCTCCTCAATGACCAATTTGAAAATACCTGCTGCTGCACTGATGGTGTTTTCTGCTCTTTAACAGATGAAGTAGCAGATAAAGCTCCACAGCTGTACGTGTAACTCAGACATACAGACAATATTTCTGAGAACCATCGACCAGCTTCCAGTCGACGATGGAGGAATGTTTCTGGGTTTGATGGGAGCTCAGCTGAGACCCTAATCCTGCAGAGAGAGGCCGCCAGACCAAAACCACAACACACAGATTGAGAGCGTGAGCAGGAAACTAATGAAGCTAATCAAAAATCCAAAACCAGAACCCACACAATCAGGACATGTTTCCAAAACCAGACACACACACACACACACACACACACATACACACACACACACACACACACAGTGAGGAACATCAGGGAGAGTTTACGCACTGTGTATTCACTCGTACCTCGTGGGAACTCACTGAAGGTTACAGAAACATGTTCAGCATCACAAAAAAACTAATTCACAGCCTCAGTTTCCAGGTTTCCTCCGATTCTCCCACAATGCACCACAGCATGCTACGTTTTAAATGTGATTCAGAGAGAGCTGCTGCTGACAGAACTGACCATTCACGTCTGAGATATACACACTGTCAGATTATAAAGGCCGCGTTACACACCTGGATGAATATGATTGGACGTTATTACTGCTGCTAGCGTGGCTAATAGACCCTCCAAGGTCTTTAAAAACCGTCATCTATAGAACATAAACTGCACTTCTGTGGGCTCAAACCCTTAAATGTTGAGACAGAAATCTCTACACATCCAGATAACTATTAACTGAGGGGGGAGTTGGATTCTACAGCCGTGCTAATTATGAATAATGTGACGAGCTTACAGAGATGTCTTGTCTATAGACCCTTTACAGCCGGCGTCAGGCTTATGTAGAAGCGTTAGCTGGAGGCTAACACCCATCACCTCAGAGTAGTGGCCTAAAGTTACACATCCAGAATGTCATCTGGACAGAATTCACCTTTTATATTGAGATGATGTATATCATATATGAACTGTGTTGGCTCTATAGAGCTACATTATCAGTGTTTCAAGGATGGAGAGGAACTGTTGCTAACAAACTAAACTGGGCTAATTTTCTGCAACCAGTGTAGCATTATAGCACGGTGCAACGAGCATGCCAACTTGCAGATGGCTAGCTACTTAGCTTGCTTGCTAATTCTGCTGTTTTTCCATGCTCCACTGGTTACAGGAAGTGAACCGAGCAATCCTACGCTGTGATTGGCTGCACTTATAGAGAGAAACACGTATTTTCTTCAGTCAAAAAAAACGAAACAAGCAACCCAACTTGCCAGCTAGCATTAGCCACCATGTTGCTAACAGTCAATAGACATGCGCTTTACATCTGCCCGGCAACAGAAGATGCTTATTTCTAAATTGGTGGACGACATTAGAGAACCACATGTCGGTGACTCTAACTCTAAAGGAGCCTTTGAGCTTCTTCCAGCTGAAGTCCAGTAGCAGTGTTGCCAACTCCTCAGTAAGGAAAGTAGCTATTGGCTGTCCTAAAAGTCGCTGGACGTCGCTAAATGACCTCACCGCCTAATTTGCATAATTGTAATGAGCGCTGTAGGAGAGAGGCGGGAACAGCGGCGGCTTTGCGCATGCGCGATTAATTTGCAGTCTGGACACGGAGAGTGTGGGTCTCCTCTTTCTGCAGCTGGGACTGCTGCACGAGCGGCTTTCACGTCAGAGTCAAAACACCAGAAAAGTCTCAGACAACACCAGAAAAAGTAGCTAGATTTGTCGCTAGTAGCTTTTGACAAAAAAAGTCGCCATGAGGGTTTGGAAAGTCGCCAGATTTAGCGAGAAAGTCGGCAAGTTGGCAACACTGTCCAGTAGTGGTTTTGCTGCTCTGCTCACAGCGTGCACGCGTCACAGCGTGCACGCGTCACAGCGAGCGGCCGGCTGCTGTGTCTGATGAATGAAGGTTAAAGGAGAGCGAGCGGCTGAATGCAGCCGAGGTTCTGTGGACTCGGAGCGCAGCAGGGATTTCCAGGGATGTGAGCAAATGTTCCGCTTCATAAGTGCGAGCGCTGCCACGGCGGAAGCGGCTGAATTGGATTTTAAAACCTCAAACATGTTACGAGTCCACAGAGTCGGTCTCCATTTCACGCTCTGTGGAGGAGCTCAAAGTTTCTGTGTCTTGGTGACGTCACGGGTTAGAGAGCCACACATGACCGCTTTTAACTGGAACGCTGGAACCACTGCTGCTTTTTTTCGGGGTTGAGGGTTTTTAATGAAATGTTTCCATGTTGGTAAGCTCTTTTGCTGTATATGAGGTCTAATAAAACACTGGAGCGCTGCAGCCAGAGGTTAAATAATCCGCTTTTTACAGCAGCGTCTGCTTAACGTCTGAACACAAGACTAAAAATAAGAAGGTTTAAAAGCCCGATGACACAACACGTTTAATCTGAAAACCTTCCACACACTGTACTCCGGTTACACTACAAGGACCTGGAAGATTCACGAGCAGCTGACACGCCAACATACTGAAGAGATTAAAACACAAACGGCCAGAGACTCTTTCACACATACGATGCAACAGATTCCTCGTGAAGTGAGGCTCAAAATGCAATGCTTCTCAAAGGTCACTGAGCAAAAGAGAAGCGTGGGCGCTAAGAAAAGGTCCAACAACACATCAGCTGCTTGTGATTCTCTCATGAAACAGAAGCACGGAGTTGTTTCTCAGGTCAAGGCCTTCCTGGAATGTAGATTCATCTTTCCTGCTCAAATCATTTCATTTGAAGGACTTTAAGAGGTCTCAAGTCACAGTGAAACAGAAGTCAGAGTGTCTTTATTCTTAGGACTTAAGACTCGACAAATGAAACAACTTGCAACTCGACTTGGACTTCAACACCAATGACTCATGACTTCACTTGGATTTGAACCTTTTGACTTGAAAATACTTGATATCTTTCCCCAAATATTAAAAAAGATATCTAAAATTTGTGTGCACGAAGACGGTCAGCGGCCTGGTACCTTAGATGTCGGGTTTATTGACTTTGGGACTAAGCTGGACCTGGATCCACATTACCTTAAACCTGGTTCATCACATGCGAGCGTGAGCTAAGATGACATCAGATTAGAGGAGAACCTTTCTGTCCTCGCTTCATCTTCCCAAAACTCAGAGAAGTGATCCAGTAGCTTTTTACAGTGATGCATAATGTAAACGAGGCAGCTCTAAAGGCCTCTCCGCCCCATACAGCTTAGTTTAAACATGCCGTCATAAAAGGCTGTAATGCATTATGTAGATGAAATGAATGTTTTGGGACATCGTGCTCATGAGGTTTGATTTCTATGAGCTCGTACCTCGTTCCTCA